GAAGTATTCCCTTTAATCTATGCCACATGTGTGAAACTATACACACGTTTTCCATTTATGAATAGATAGAGGATTTCAATAACATAAACGCAAGTTTAAGTATTAGTAAAGCATTTACAAGTATAGATAGAAATAGCCTCAGTTTGGTAAAACCACACTGGAATGCAATAATGGGTCATATGATCATGTTGATTGCAACGTATTCTAGGTAGTCTGCTTGTCCCCAGTGCTTGATAAAAGTAAATGGATTTTAAGGTGTTATTGGAAATTTTCATTTATTTTTTATTTTATTTTTTATTTTAGAGAGAGAGCATGCAAGTGGGGGAGGGAGGCAGAGAAAGAAAGAATCTTAAATAGGCTCCATTCTCAGCACAAGCCCAAGGTGGGGCTTGATCCCATGACCCTGGAATCATGACCTGAGCTGAAATCAAGAGTCAGATGCTCAACCAACTGAGCCACCCAGGCACCGTGGAAAATTTTATTTTATTTATTTTTTTGAAAATTTTAAATACTACTAAAGCAAAAAGATTTTAGGGGAAAATTTTGAGGCTGAGATGATCTGATTAAACATTTACATGGAGATTGAGAGGATAAGGAGTACTACAGGGGCCTGGCTCCTGTCAGTTTGTAGGCACTTTTATCCAGAAACACGCACATGAGTCAGTAGGGAATATGGCAAATATCTGATTCCGTAAGTGCCATGCTACAGTATTCCAATAGTAAAATTATTATTACAAATAAACATTCCATTGTTTAAATATGTAGCTGTATCTTTAGTGCAATATACAATTAACATGGTACCTCCAGTTTTTGAAGCACCGTCACATAGCACAGAATAAGTAATACCCTGAAAGAGGAAGCCTCAAGGTACACTTGGTGATATTCCTTAGCATGTATTGATCACCTTCTCTGTGCCAGGTTTGAGCACTTGAGGTGATGATGATGGAAGTGGTGAGAATGATGTTGGTTGGCTTGAGCTGCTGCTCATACCCTTTGCCTAGTTCCTGTAGTGACTGGTGTCTGTGAGGTTTCCTGAGCCTGGCACAAGGTGTAACTTGTGGCTTTTGAATGGACCCCTGTTGTGGACAGTGTTCCCCCCCCCCCAAATTCATGGTATTTGGAAATGGGGTCTTAGCAAGGTAATTGGATTTAGGTGAGGTCATCAAGGTGGGGCCCTTATAATGAGATTATATCCTTATTAGAAACACCAAAGAGCTCGTTTGCATTTTCTCTTGACTGTTCACAAAGAAGAGGTCATGTGAGTCCACAGCAAGATGGTATCCAGCAACATTTCTGTTGTTTAAGCCACGCAGTCTATGGCATTTTGTTACCACAGCCAAGCTAAGACAACACCTCACTTGCAAGTGAAACAAACTAGCCTAGATTTGGATCACAGGTTAAGTTGGCCGCCATGCTCTAGACAGTTGAACTAAACAATCAAACTGCCAGTTATTAAATACAGAAAGAAGTAGACAAGGAAGTTCCCTCCCTGGGCTTTATTTGTGAGTAGTACAGGAAACCATCTAAGAGGTTTCCCCCCTCAGTTAAATAGTGACTCAATAAAGAATCGTGAATCCATCCATAACTCACCTCATCTGACGAGAAAAAGATTTCACGATCAATTAGACCCAATCTCCCACGTATCTTTGAACCTAATGGTTAGGGCTTTA